AGTTACTCCAACCTGGAAGTAGGATGCTTTTCCCCACTCGATGGTTCCAACGTGGCATTGCATGTGGCCCTCCATGTGGCAGGTGGAAAGCCACACCTTTTTTCCAGGCTTGTTGAGAATGCCCCCTTTCACTGAGTAGAGTACTCCATCGGGACCATGCAGGCGGGCAGGGGCGTTCTAATGGTTTCCTGTCCCTTCAGCATCAAGGGCCGTAAGCAGGGGGTCTTTCAGGATGGCTCGGAGACTAACTCGAGGAAGGACCCACCACGCTCCTCTCCATCCCCATTGCCGCCATCCTGGTCCAAGTTACCATTGCCTCTCAGTGGACCACCATGGCGGCCTCCTCTGTGGTCTCCCAACACCCATTCGTGTCTGCTCAGTGAATGGGACTCTGTGTTGGTGGGGTGGCCACATGTGTACCTGATGGACCACATTTCCCAGCATCCCTTGCAGCTAGAGCATCAGGTGCCTGAGTTGTGGCTAATGACACCTAGACACAGCTGTTGGGAGGGACTTCTGCTGGGAGGACCTTTAAGGGAATCGGATTCTGCTGGCGAGGAGAGGAGACGGAGCAGCAGGAGACAGGGAGACCCTGCCAATCAGGATACAGGCCTGACACTCGGGAAGGGAGGGGGGAAGGAAAGACAGCAGCACAGCTGGAGAAAATCTTGGCTAGCCCACTAGGGGGCCCCAGAGCAAAGATCATCCATCAGGAGTCCCACAGCGGGTGGAAACGGCCTAGCTCTAGGACACCATCAGTGATTGGTGGGGAGCGGCCTGGGAGGGAGTTTGGCCTTAACATGGGCACAAGACCCAAAGGTGTGGCACCTGCGGGCTGTCAGACAATTGTGGTCCCTGTAACAGGCTCTAGTGGAAGCAGCTGAGTGGCTCATCGCCACAGCTGCCACGTCACCTTCTCCACTAACCTTTGCACACTGTTGCCAAGGCCCCCGGCTTTGTTCTCTTGGCCAGCACAGTTCTCTGCCTGGATTATCTGGATTTAAATAAAAGTGGTCAGGGCATCTAGGAGCAGTCTCACACTAGCAAAGCCTTGAAGCTTGGGGAGCTCTAACCACTGTAACATTGTTTCTGTGATGTGTGAGGCAGGAAGGGGCAGAGGGTTACTTTGTATCCAGCTTCTAACAAGAGCCTGCGGGGCTGCAGGCAGCGCAAGGTAGGTTTTCTCCAGCAAGGCGACTCCTATGAGAAGAAATGATAAAGCACCAGGGCCATAGCGACAGCAGGGAGCTGCTACCTCCTGCGAAGCCTGAGGCTCTGAGGGAGACTTGGGTTTCTTCCCTCCGGTAGCTTCAGGAGACTGCCAGCATACCTGGCTTGGGCTCTCTCACCCCAGTCTCAAGGCTGGAGTCTCAAAATCTCTCTGCTCCATTTCCCACTGCCTCCTTCCTGAGTGTCTACTCTCCCTCCGCCTTCCTCTTTGAAGCATTTAGGGTTCACCTGGAAAATTCGAGATCATCTCAAAGTCCTTGACCTAATCACATTTGCAAAAACATTGATTTCCTTTCTTTGGCCACAGAAGCTTGTGTCTCAGGTTGAGGGATTGTGGTATAGAGATCCGTCTAGTGGGGCCATTTCTCATCCTGCCATGGGCTCCCACTGTCTTAAGATCCCCGGGCACCTCCTTACCCAGCTCCTGACTGCAGACCATCCTTTCCTAGAAGAATCTGCAAGACCTCAGTGGCCTTGTCTCCGCTCCGTTCCCTGCCCAGCACAGGGTCCCTGCCTGCCTTCCCAGACAGAGCTCTCCTTCTTCCTCTGCACGCCGACCCCTCGGGCTTTAACTTCCTCCAGGTTCAATCCATTTATCCAGGAATATGTATTGCCCAGCAATAGGATTCAGGCTCACACGCGGTTTGCACCGGGCACAGGTTTACACGCGATCCTGCGGCGCCCCCTCGTGGTCAGTCTGTAGAAGCCGTCCTAGCGGAGCCGCCGAACGTCAGCTGAGAAAGGATGCTTCTCACCCCGCAAGGAAAAGGGAAGAAGGGGGAAGGGTTGTGGGACATGATGGGCATTTAGCAAGGGTGCTAGGAGACATTCAAAGTGAGCAAAGAGGCGTCAAGCTGACCCTGACCGTTCAAGGAGCGGCTTCTGCTCTATGGGACAGACAGAACCCAGGCTCTGGATCCTCGGAGGCTGCTTCCCGGCTCAGTGAACTCACCTGCAACAAAGTTGCTGCGTAGCCAGGCTCAGTGAACTCACCTGCAACAAAGTTGTGGCGTGGCCAGGCTCAGTGAACTCACCTGCAACAAAGTTGCGGCGTGGCCAGGCTCAGTGAACTCACCTGCAACAAAGTTGCCGCATAGCCAGGCTCAGTGAACTCACCTGCAACAAAGTTGCGGTGTGGCCAGGCTCAGTGAACTCACCTGCAACGAAGTTGCGGCTCAGCCAGAGCTGAGGGATGGGGTGCGGCGGGGCGGGTGGTGGCCACACCTCTCAGGATCTCAAAGCCAAAGTCAGGAAATGAACTTTCTTTTCAAACCAGGCCTTGGTGGGCCTCTCGCGCATAGGAGGCATCGGCCCGCAGCACAGCTGGAAAAAATGAGAAAATGGAAGGACAGTTCTGGTTTTAGTCCAATTCATCCACAGGTGATCCTGCCTCGGCCACAGGCCAGCATGGCCACTAGGGAGATTAAACAGGCACGGGAATTGGAGCCTCTGGAGTCCTAGGTAAGACCTCCATCCACTTGCGTCCTTAGAATGGGTTTAGCTTTTCCCAGCCACGTTCTGACTAATGAATGATTTGGGACTTTTGCTGTGAATATTTATGGTTCACTGCCAAGAGCAGGAGCCCCTCCTCCACCCCCATTCTCTGATGTTCCTCCCAGCGGGGCCCGGAGGGGAGGGGCAAGGTTCAGCCCACACCTGCCACAGGGGAGGCTGAGACTGGTGCACACCTGGTCTCCTGTCTCTGGTGACTCTGGCCACCTTGATCCCTAGAGGTTGTATTGGGACGACACTCTAACGGAGTTACTGGGCCAGGACGACCTTGATGTTTTTGAAGAGTTCTGCTTAGGGATTTCTTAGGATGTCCCTCCATTGGGGTTTGTCTGATGTTTTCCCATAATTAGACTTCTCATGTGGGGACTACTGACTTATGTGCTCTCTTCTCTCTCCATCCTGCCCCTCTCAACCCCTTCCAAGCTCTCCCCCCACCACTGGCCTTTCCCTGATGGGATGTTAATTCCCCCGGCCCACTCCTGAAGGCAACCGTGGGTGGGGCTGGCTCAGACCTGGCTGACTTGTTTTTCACCCCCAGATGTAATCAGAGGCCAGCCCCGTGGGGTCCAGGTGCCCCCGGATCATATTTGCTGGGCGATATACTGAGGCTGGGAGAGGAAAGGGGACAGGAGACCAAACAGGAAGTCAGGAGAGCGAGGAGACTAAGAACAACCTTATAACGTGGCTGTTTATTAAGTATACGGGGATACACAGCCCAGGAATGGTCCCTCCTCCCCCGACATGTGGCAACCATATTTTCCTGGCCCAGCGTCATGGAAACGTGTGGATTGGCAAAGATCATTTCATTTTCTTTTAATACCTCCCGATTTGTGAATTTCTTTAGGGAAGGCTCTGTGTAGTTGCGCATTTTAATAAAGGCAGTTCGTGAAAATAATGAAACAAAAGGACAGGAAACCAGGACTGGCTGGGCAATCCACACTTGCCCTCTCATAAAAGGCAAAGATCTTGGAACTGCCTCATGAAAGGCCTCTCCAGCCCGTCCTGACCAGGTCACAGATTGCAGGCGGGAAAACACCCTAATTGTCATTTAACTGAAGAGCGAGTTCACACATACCAATAAATATCTAATAAACAAATGACTTTGAAGAAGTGCACTGACCCCTGAAGTCACCTGCTCTAGGCTCGGGGGTGTATTTTTCCATGTGGATGTGTTTGCGCGTGGAACAGTCAACATAAGACGGTGAAATTTGATCTCCAGGGTAACCTACTACAGAGCCGAGTAAACCCTCCAGTAGTGATAATGACCACATTCTAATACCCGGAACCCGGGAGTGGCCTGATTAGCATACGTAATTAAGGATTTCGAGATGAGATCATTCTATATTTAAGATGGGCCCTAAACCCAGTGGCAGTGTCCTGATAAGAGAAACAAGATTTGGCTCAGACACTAGAGGGGAGACGCCCAGAAGATGGAGCTGGAGAGTGGAGTGATGGTCAGTTACAAGCCAAGGCGCACCTGGAGCCACCACAGGCTGAAAGAGGCAGAAGGACCCTCCCCTAGAGCCTTCTAAGGGGCTTGGGGATACACATCGAATTTGGATTTCTGGCCTCCAGACCTGTGGCAGAATAGAGTTCTGTTCTTTTGAAGTCTCTAAATTTCTGGCAATTTGTTAACAGCAGCCCCAGGAAAGCAATACGCCCATAATCCCATCACTTAAAACTACTTAATACTACTTAATACTTAATAGCCACATGACCTTGAGCAAGCTGTTCTACTCCCCTGGCTGCCAGTTTACTCTCTGACAAAAATGGGGGTGTTTATTTCCAATGGGCGCATTTCCCACATTTACAGGTGATGCTCAGCAATTGATTCTTGGCGCCTGGCAACCTCTCCCAGCCTCAGGTTCCCCATCTGTAAAAGGGGAGGCAAGAATCCCTAGGCCTGCCCCCACTCTCAGGTTTAGGACTCAATTAAAATAATAAAATAATAAAATTAAAATAAAACAAAATAATAAAATAAAATAGAAAAAGAGCCGAAAACGCTTTCCTGAACCGCACAGCGCTCAAAAACCACTAACCCCCGCAATCAATCCCCGCCAGTGTGAGGCACCAGCGCCCCCTGCCGCCTTTGCCTTGGTGTCATCGGACGCCGCCGAACAGCCTGCGCCTGCGCGGGGGTGCCAGCGCGCAGGCCCGCCCCTTATGGGTGTGACTTCCTGGCGTCGCTCCGAGTCGGCCACGCCCACTTCCGGGAGAAGGGCGGGTCCGACGCCCGGAGCACGTGATTCGGTTCTGGCTGGCGAAAGATGGCGGCGCCCAGGGCTGCGGCGTGAAAGTGGTTTGTGAGGAGACTCGGTGCCAACGCGCTGGAATCAAACAGTGGGGCCGCGCGCCATGTCGCGACTGATCGTGAAGAACCTCCCGAATGGGGTGAGTGCAGGGGCCTGGGCTCGGGAGTCTGAAGTTAGGGCCTGTCGGGAGCCGGGGGTTGGGCTTCGGAAACCAAAAGGGCAGGACCCCGCGGCTTATCCGCCTTGGACCGCGGGCGGGAG